ATGGATAATTATATTTAATTGTCCAATATTTTGACGTTAAAAATGTTTGAAATTTCAACATCTTACAAAGGGTTGCATCAAAATTTCAAATCTATAGATTTAAAGGTACTTACAATTACATTCAGTCAAAGATTGATTTATTTTGATTTAGATAGTTTATGTTTTGTTGGTTTAAAAGAAATAGTTGGTATGAAAATTAGTCACTATATACATTTCATTGGTATGATTATGACATTTCCTACCTTCAACTCAACCTCAATTTAAAATATATACTGTTGCTATTTTTTTTTATACAAATAAAAATACCACTCTCTAGTAAAATCTCCCACGAAGTCGCTCAATTTAGGATGTTTCCAAGTGAAACATTTCTAGGTCGTATTTTATAATATCAGGATTCCTCTTATTTGGATGAGGTGTCAGTTAATCCATATACTCTTCATGCTAGTCATGTATCACACATTCAAAACTTTTACTTAGTCAAAAGTGGTATTGAATCAAACTCCACCTTTCATAAAGGAAGCATTGAGAAGTGGGCGTCCTGCTGGGATGACATCATAACTATCCGACAACCAGAAGATCATCTGCTAACGTATAATTGATATTCCGATGACTTTCAACATATTTTGTGTCGGTCATAAGTTTCTTCTGATCAAAGGTCAATCTGAGATGTGCTTCTGAACATATTGGCCCTTCACTTCTTTCATTATCAGGGTGGCCTTCACTTCTTTCACTATCAGGGTGTCCGGGCTAAGGCCTAACATACGAACCTCCACATAAGAGTGCCAAGTAGTTGCACTTATTTTACTCCTAACATCATACATATTAAAAAATAAAGAATATCATATTTATAATGGATGTGGCATGTCAACAGGTTTGAGTATTTCTCATGATGAAATAGAAGATTAATGTTGAAAAAAGTGTGTAGCTTAGCTATGTTGAAATGGAAAATGAAGCCATATTTGTGTTTATTAAAAGTGGAAGGTTCTTAAAAATAGTGGGTGACGAATATGTTGATCACGAGGCTACTTCTTTTTCTTCATGGCTCAACAGTTTGGTGGTGTATTCAGGCTGAATCAGAGCATCACGAGAAGCCTTAAAAAAGTCTTCATTTTCCAATGCCCCAAATGCCCTCTGCTTCTCCCACTCAGACTCTGCCTCTCTCTCATATCAATCTTCAAATTATAAATTTCAATTTGGTCCAATAATTTTCACATAGTTTCACTTCCAACCCTGCAACATTCAAAATTACAATTTAGTTCATATTAATTTAAGTGTCATTATTTCAAGTTTATCAATTTAGTTCATCACAAATTGTCATTCTCACGGGAAAAATTCACTTGTTTCCTTCTATTTTCTACCTAAATGGAAATCGTAACACAACCGTATGACCACGTTTAATCAGATAGAAAATATCAATTTAATCGTGAGGGTGTAAAGATTAGTTATATCTATTTATGGGTAAGTTAGGTTCATATTGATATTTGAGATTTAATTATTTTGTAAATAATCTATTTATCTTTTAATAGAAGTGTTACTCAATAAATAATCATGGTAAAAGAAAGTTACCTCTTCTAACATGATATGTTTAAGGAGACACAACTATACATGAAATGACAATCTTTTTCATGTAAAAAAAGTGTGTTAGTATGGCAATGGCGGAAGGATTCGTGAGATTTAACCAAATTATAAGAATCAAATTAAAATTTTTAAGATCAACTTGAACATAACTGGTTAAGGTATATATATTGACAAAAAAGTTGCAAGTTCAAATCTCTACCTCTCGATATTGTTGTACTTAAAAAGAAATTAGAGTGACCAGTTATATAATTTCACACAAATTTATCAATACTCCATTTAACCTTGGATTTTGTACTTTGAACTCTGGTTATCATTACGTTTGAATGGAATTAACTCTGAAAATGGAAAAAAAAAACATTGTAAATATTAAAATTTTAAAATTCATTATTTACAAATAGTATAGAGTCCTCCTATAAGAACATAGAAGCTAAAATTGCGTTTTAAGCTTCAACCAAAATTTCAAAGGGAGCAATCAAGTAGAATTGTGATTCCTTGCTGGTTTGGCAATAAAATAGTGAAAGAAGGAAGAGAAAAGTCTACAAAATATTCAATGTGGGAATTGGCTTCAAAAAGTGACAATGGGCGGCTACTTCTTTTTCTTTCATCCTATCAATTTCATAAGGGGAAAAAAA